GTGCGCCGCCGATCAGCATACTTCTCAATGCCGGCAGTTTGAGGCTATTTTTCTCCACAAAATTCAATATATCGATGACCATCGTTGGCGTCACTATTATATGAGTGGCGCTGTGTTTGATCATCGACTCCACAATCAATTTCACATCATATTTGAGATTCGCGATCACTTTAATGCGATAAATAGTTTGATTTATAAGCGAAACACTAATTATCAAATCTATTGAATAGTGTACCAGATTTAATAGGAACGGCAGTCATCGATATATTGCCCAAAACAGCGGCAAACGAGTGAAAGAATGGTAAAGGAATAAGCATGGTGATCGGATCATCAAAACCAAACTGTGTCCCAGTAAGCAATGCATTGTTCACTAAATTGTTAATTAACTAGTTAAAACAAAATTCTCATTAAACTCATTGTTTCAAACCTAATGTAAAGTGTGATAAATAAGCGCCTTTTGGTTTGCCTGTAGTTCCCTAATGTTTGACAATAGTTAAAAGGTTATTTTGTAATGAAATCTTTTATGCATTGAAGACCAACCGATGTAAACATAATGATCGCCGGATCGTCCGGAGAGACGTCGTCCACAATTGATTGGTCGACATTTCCATTGTTTGCAACCAAATTAGTAATCGGCATATAATTAAAGCCTCCCTTTGCGTCTTCTGACGAATAATTTCCATCCATAAAAATAATGTCTTTTAGTATTAATGGATCGCTTTCTTTCTGTTTTGTTTACAACCAGATATTAAATCAGAAAATCTCATTAAATTGTTTTTTAATAAAAATTATGATTTATCTTTTAAATAAATTAAATTAATAGTAATTTTAAACATTATGAGTACAGACAAAGTTAGTACAGTTACATGCATGTTATCGATTTATACTTTAATCTATTATTTGATCATTTTTGTACTCATAATTGAGTACTATTTTGGTAAAAATTCTGTATTAAATCTTATAAATTAAATATATATAGAATTCACAAATATTAATATTAACGGAATAATTAAATTGCATGTTTTGAGTACGTTTACTGTACTTAATTGCACTGCAAATAAAGGCCGTGAAACGTGAAAAAATACGTTAAATCACTTTTATATTCTTAATGTTATTTATAATATCCAAAAACATCAATACCTCTTCTTTTGCACTGAGAGTTTGCTTTAAGACATTTTGGTATTTATTGACAACTTCTTGTTTAGAGCCGTTTCCCGGCATAAAAATGGCTTTGATTTGTCCCTTTCTCAGAGCGTAATTCAATTCAGGGCTTTGATAAACGGGATTAACTGTACACAACACTATTCCCAGTTTGGCGCAAGCATATTGAACTTGTATCTAGCAGATTTAATGACAAATAAAAATGTACACACTTTTTAATAGAATTTGAATATATTCTTGAATACCCATGAATATGAATTACAACTCCAAACGCCCACCACATCCCCTCTCCGGAGACCTAAATAATAATGTGTTTTATTTAAATTATCAATAGATTTAACGACTAATACCCAAATCGTGCAGTCCTTTCGCCAATTTGTTGACGTCTTCATTGAATTGTGAAAACGTTTTGCTGATATTCTCGTATTCACTGACAAACGCAGTGTTGTTACCAACTTATTATAAAAAATTATCATATTTATTTCATGTTTACATAATTTGTTTAAGAAATTAACTGCCAAATTGATAATTTAGTTTGTTTAAGTATATTTAATTATATTAAGTTCAAAGATCTCCACTAAATGTTTGGTTAATCTAAATATATTCAAAGAGTTATCCAGAAAAATATGTTTGTAACTAATCTGTCATTTAAAGCATTTGATAAAATTATAAATATATTTAAGTATTTCACTTTATTTTTAATTTTTGAATAAATATTTAATTAAAATTACGGCAACAAAAGAGATTCTCACTATACAGTAGAGAAAACAAAAATATCTTAGTTAAATGTTTATTTCATACAATACTTAACACATTGTAGTACCTGCATTAGTAATGCAGCATTACTATATCCCTTATTGTTTGGGGAAAATTAACTAGAATATAAATTAATAGCTACAAATAGCACATGATATAAATGATACAAATGTATACCTGTTTGGGCTTTATTTGTCAAAAGATCTCCAATCCTGAGATATTGTAATTCTTTATCACTTCTTCCATAAGCGTGTGAATAAGGAAGCGATACATAAGCGCTAACATTAAGATCAGGATTTGGTTTGAATTAGAAACTTTTGCATGTGTTTTATTTATAATATACAGTAAATTTGTATTCATTATTTTTAAAATTGTAGGTATAATTCTTATGGACATTTTAAAGCACTTATAAGAAATGCAACAATGTTTCAAATAATACATCGTTATGTTAGTCTCACATTAAACCTACAGTTTTAAATGATCTTCTCATTAAATTCACATTATTATTAATTGAACATTAAATTTGAATTTTATGTAAATTTTGCTTTTATTAATTTTTAATATAAATAGAAACAAAATAATATAAAGTTTGGTTTACTTTAGTTTACTATGTATTTCATGTCAATTACTATCATTAAAAATCATATAATTTTACAATTAATTCTAATATTTCCTTATTTTTGTCAATCAAATAATAGATTACTATTGAATCGTATTTTATATAATTGTCATTTAATATTCAATTAAAATTTGATTTCCTTTAAAAATTCACTTTAAAAAATAAATGTCTGATGACTTATAATAGAAAATGTCATAAATATTTAAAATTTATATCGTAAGAGACACAATGGGTAATAATTTAATGCAATAAACAGAACTATTAATTTTACCTTAACTTTTCAGATGCATAAGTCCTGTAATCTAAACGAAATGCACTTTTAAATTGCTGTAATCCATTGAGTTTAGAGTATTTGTTGATCACATTTGAACACAATTTAATTTTATTTAATAGTAAAACCATTTTGAAAATTAATTAAAAATTAATAAATAAATAAAAATAAAAACGACAGCAAAAGTCAAATAAAATTCAAAATATTTTCGAAACAACCAAAACAGTGGAGACAACAGTTGGCATCAAATAAGTTGAAAAGTGAACCCAAAAGTGAAAACCAGGTTAGGAGGAGATAACAATTTTTGAATTAATGGATTTATTTGCGATATTATTTAGTAGTTCTCTCAGACGAGGCAATCAGTGCCCGGAGCTATGCTAAGCACTGCCCATAACTTCTTATGTATTCAATTTCTTTAACAATATTTCCGCAATAATTTCACTAATAGTAGTTTACAACACAAATGAAATGCTAGTGTATTATGTATTCAACGCGCATATGAACACACAATTTCAATGGATTTGCAACTTTTTCAATGAATCTGTCGTCTGGAACAAGTGTTTTTGGGAGAAGTACTCAAACAAATTGATGCTTTATATGAGTGAATCCAAAAATAAGAGTGCATTTAATGCTAACCTTTGGTCTCAAAATTTAAAACCATTAAATATGTGAAAAACATCGAAATAAACGGCAAAATCGTTATCGCAATCAATGCTAAAAATGTACTGACAAATGAATAGAGACTGTCCTGCCTTATGATTGTCCTTGACTTCAGCTAATAGTTAATAACCGGTAATTAACACATGTATATAACTGTAAGAGTTTGCGAATGGCTTTTCACATTAAAAATGTACTGACAAATGAATAGAGACTGTCCTGCCTTATGATTGTCCTTGACTTCAGCTAATAGTTAATAACCGGTAATTAACACATGTATATAACTGTAAGAGTTTGCGAATGGCTTTTCACATATTGAGACCAAACATCTTTCGATCGATAAGATATGAGATATTGAAGACTTTGTTCACAACAATCTCTTTAATAACATTTCATAATTTTGAATATTTGTTTATATTATTTAAAAAACTAAATCATTATTGAGTTTTCAGTACTTTATGGTTCATTCGTTCTTTCAATTCAATACAAAATACAGTAAAAAACTTATTTTCAAAATAACATATCTTTCATACTATGAAATTCATAGTATTGTCTGTTTTGAAACTTTTATTGAAAACATACAAATCTATTGATTCTATCAATTATTTTATTTTCCATTTTTTAAATTATTCCAAAAGTAAAATAAAAGTATAAATAATTCAAAACGCAAAAAAAATTCATCCAATATATAAAACACATATTGAATACATTTGGGTCTATATTAAGGCTTACATCGGGAGGTAAATCGTGGGTAAAGAGTTGCGTCGCGAATGTGGTAACGGTTGAGGACATACGTAATGAATCGCTCGAGACCTAAGCCATAGCCCCCGTGAGGGCAC